CGCCTATCGCCCAGCTCAAAGTCAACACTGATGCGCAAGTGCTTCAACAAGGTATTAAAAACCTCCAGAACTGTTGGGCCTGGAAACAACACATAACAATGATTGCACGTGTCAAGGGAAAGATGTCTTAAGAAAACGAAAATTAACCTTTCCAATGCCTTTTCAGGAGAAATCAGATCAAGCTGAAAAGAATAAGTGAAATTCACTGTTTGAGGGATATGGCCTAGGGATAAACTTTTGAAGTGCACCTACACCTCGGTATTTTAGAAATTAATTAGGAATCAGGAAACACAATCAGCTATATAAGCATAATATGTTACTATCAAGTTGAACTGAGTCTGGCTGGGAGGGAGTTCACTTTCTTCCTAGCAGCCTGGGAGGTGCTGTACTTTGGATTTGTGACTAAAATAGTGTTGACAACAAACCAGTGTTTTGGCGGTTGCTGAGCAGTTCTAGCAAGTGAAAAGGCTTTTAGCTTTTCCCAACCTGTCCCTGCAGAGTGTAAGGCTGTGCAAAAAATGGGAGGAGACACAGGCTAGGCCAGCTGACCCAAACCGACCAAAGGGCTATTCCATACCATAGAATGTCATGCTCAGCAATAAAAGCTCCACGAAAGGAGGAGTAAGCGGGAGACATTTCTTCATACGGCATTTGTCTTCCCAAGGAACCGTTATGCATGCTGAGGCCCTGCTTTCCAAGAAGCAGCTAAACATCTGCTTGTCAATGGGAAGCACTGAATAAATTCCTTGGCTTTCTTTGTGCATTCAGCTTTTGCTTCACCCATTAAATTGTCTTTATCTTGATCCATGAGGCTTCTCACCTTTTTCTACCCTCTCCCTGTCCTGTGGGAAAGGGAAGTGAGCAAATGGCTGTTGGCTGGAGTCAACCCACCATGTAAGCTTTACACAGAAAATCAGCATCGACAATGGGTTAAACTGCAGGTATTTGCACCTGAATTTCAGTGATTTCAAAACCTGCTACTAAAATCCAGTTCTACACACTGGCTCAAGTAACGAGCTCTTTTCATAACACAGTAAAAGACTTCACAAGTCAGTGTATGCAGGTAGGTCTTGTATAAAAAAAAAAAGACAGGCTCAGACTCAAGCTAATGCTAATGAAGCAAAGCAATAATGTTTGAAGGAGATCAAAGAACAGCACTGCACATGTGTGTGTACACATCTTCGTAACTACTCTCATTTCAAGGAACTATGCTACCATTAATGACATCAATCTCCTTATTTCAGCTGTTTCACAGTTAGGAAGGTAAAATTTCTCAAAGATTGTTCTAGTCTCGACTCCCGTCTTACCACCCACCTCATAGCAGCTGTATCACAAAGCGACGGTGCTTTCGACATTTTGTAGTCACCCACAGTTCTCTCAGACTTTGTGACTTCTTACCAAACAGGAATTCCTGCCTTTCACAAGGCTGTAAAAACATATCTACTCATTTTTTCAATGCAAAGGATTATAAAATAGTCAAATGACCAAGCAAGTATGTTGGAGTAATTATAAACCAAGTAAAATTTAAAGCATTTTATAATCACATAGGAGAAGAAATTAATAAATACAAAACCTCCTCAAAACAGATGTTTTCATTCAGTCTGAAAACAAAGCAAAAGTGAGCACCTCCCTTCAAATCTATCCTTTGACCTGGTGCCTTTAATTTAAGATGACTTACCTATAGATCCTTTAGCTGCTATTGCAACTGCTTCCAAAAGAACCTGAATAATGCCAGCACGAACTCGTGGTGAGTCCCTTTTGCGAACATCAAGGTGACCAAGAATTTCCTGTATCACATGATGGGAATATTGTGCCTATTAAAAAACAAACAGAAATAAAAGCTTCATCTGTACCTTTAATATGAATAAACTCATACACCACTCAGCTATAGCTACGACCATGTTCCTATTCTGCAACATTCTCCCTCATAAATTTACTTAAATTTCAATCAATTAATTGTTAAATACAGATTAAAAAAAACCACCACGCCAGATGAAGAAACACAGGTCCATCCTGCCCAGTACACAACAGCTCACAGTATTAAAATATCCAGGAACATCTACAAGAACAGAGGAAGCGTGAAGCGGTACTTCATTCGGCTAACTGCAGTTCAAGGACTTCAGCTGCTCTTACAAAAAAGCACCACTGATACAAATGCTGAGAAAACTCAGCTTTCTTCCACAAACCTAGACACTTCTGGGTGTCTGTGCTTGACACAATCCAAGAATCACACTTTGATCATGTTTACAACAGACAACGGAGGTTGCCCATTAGTAAAAATCAATTAAACACAACACAGTTCCACGTGAAGCTGGTTTCTTGGGTTGCAAAAGCAGTAGAGCTGTATTGGCACGGAGGTGCGACCAACTTGAGATTTATTTATCGAGCACAACATCAGATCAGTATGGCTACCCTGCTCCTTGTTCTGCAGCTTGCTGAGGGACACCTGCACTACCTTCCAGTGAGAATTCCTTCATATCTCTTTTCTTCTACAAGTGTATATCAACTGAAAGTAAATCGGATAACCTCTGATCACCAACCACAATTAGGTTGCTATTTGAAAAGTTTGAACAATAAGGCTAAGAAGTTATGGAAAGGGATCTTCTGGATTTTTTTACTTCATCTACTGTCTATTGTTATCATGGTGAGGTAAGCATTTAACCCTGTCTCATGTGCTTGAAACATATATGCAAGGAAAACAGACCCCGGAGAAAATCATACCTGTATAGAATACATGATGATTTTGAAGCAGGAAACAGCAAATTCATTGGGATCCCATAGTCTATGGTGGTCTAAATGCCTGTAACAAAAAAATTAAGGGATCTGAAATAATGGCATTCCACAGATATAATAAATGGCACCTTACAGTTTTCTCAAAATTCACCTCAAAGGGATTATTTCTTTACACAAATCTTCCGAACAATGACTTATTACCTAGATCAGAAAACTAGAACTTCAGAAAAGCATTTCTTTTCAGGGGTTAGGGTGCGATCACAAAACAGTTGGCTGTAACAGAAATTCCTGATGTTCTAGTTTCACAATGTTAAGGAATCTAGTCGTACCAAAGATAAACAGTTAAGAATATACAGAGCTGGTGAGTGAGCCAACTCGGGAATGTGCCCCACTGGACCTATTGTTTGTGAAGGGAGGACGACTTGTGGGTGATGTGATGGTTGGAGGCTGTCTTGGGCACAGTGATCACGAAATGATAAAGTTTTTGATGCTTGGAGAAGGAGGGGGCTTGACAGAACTGCTAACTTGGACTTCCAGAGAGCAGACTTTAGCCTGTTTAGGAGATTGGATGAGAGAGTCCCTTGGGAGGCAGTCCTGAAGGGTAAAGGAGTCCAGGAAGGCTGGACATGCTTCAAGAAGGAAGACTTAAAGGTGCAGGAGCAGGCTGTCCCCACGTGCCAAAAGATGAGGTGGTGGAGAAGACGACCAGCCTTCAGAACAGAGGGTGTTCTGAACAGAGAGCTTTGGCTGGAACTCAGGGGGAAAAAAAGGAGAGTTTATGATCTTTGGAAGAAGGGGCAGGCAACTCAGGAGGACCACAAAGATGATGTAAGGTTATGCAGGGAGAAAATCAGAAGGGCCAAACCCCAACTAGGAGTTAATCTGCCTCTGCTGTAAAAGACAATTAAAAATGTTTCTAAATACATTAACATCAAAAGGAGGGCTAAGGAGAATCTCCATCCTTTATGGGATGTGGGGGTAAACATAGTGACCAAGGATGAGCAAAAGACTGAGGTACTTAATGCCTTCTTCGCTTCAGTCTTTAATACTAAGACCAGTTGTTCTCCGGGTACCCACCTCCCTGAGCTGGAAGACAGAGACAGGGAGCAGAATGAAGCTCCCATAATCCAACGGGAAATGGTTAGTGACCTGCTACACCACTTGGACACTCTGTGGGGCCAGATGGGATCCACCGAAGGGTGCTGAGGGAGCTAGCAGAAGTGCTCACCATGACATTTTCAATCAGCTATCAGCAGTCCTGGCTAACCAGGGAGGTCCCAGTTGACTGGAGGTTGGCAAATGTGATGCCCATCTACAAGAAGGGCCAGAAGGAGGACCAGGGGAACTAGCGGCCTGTCAGCCTGACCTTGGTGCCGGGGGAGGTTATGGAGTGCCACCACATGGCACGCACAGGACAACAGGTGATCAGACCCTCCCAGTCAGCATGGGTTTATGAAAGGCAGG